GTCTGCCGACTTCTAAAGCCCGTGGTTGGCTGACATCACAGAGCCAACACAGACTCTGGAAGGCTTCTGAGAATAATGTTGGGATTTACCCACATGCCTGACTGGCAGATTTCTCAGCCACTGTTGAAAGCCTGAGCCAGCCACTCCTGCCCCTGCACAGCCCGACTCTCCAGTGAGTTCTGAAGGAGCAGAGCAGAGAGTGGTTACTGACAATCACTGATCTCTGCTCCGGGACAACCAAGAACTGAGTAATCAGTGATCATGTGACTGCTCAACTCCTGATTTTAGAGCTGGTGAGGGACAGATGCAGCATCGCAGCAATGCTACAGCCATAGAGGTGAGTATGAATACATATTTTTTTTACAAACACTCACTTCTCTGATAAGTACCACTTACAGATCCCCTCCCCACCTCAGCCTTTGATTAGAAAGTGAAAGGAAAAGCAGAAGAATAATGAGCTCATCATTATGTCACTCTACTGATTCTTCCTCTACCAGTCTAAGCTTTACTGTACTGCAAAAGGCTGATAGTCAAATCCAGGAAGTTACACTGTTTGCATTTAAAAATACATTTAAAGTGAACCCTAGTATTACCTTCAGTCTTGCACAGTTGTACAGACTCATCTCCTTTCTTGAAATTGCTTACTCTGATTTAAATGGCCACTGTGAGATTATCACATGGTGCATTACACTGTAGCTTGATCACTAAGATTCGCTGGATCAGCACTCCATTCCACCACCTGGATAGTCTACTTGCAGGCCACATGTCGCTCCCAACCTACACTAATTTGATTGGCTGAGGTGGAGGGTACTGCTCCATCTAACAGGTCCAAAAAGGCTTGAGAAATCAGAACCAAGAAGCTTAATCACTAAGATTCCCTAGATCAGCACTCCATTTTGCCACCTGAGTGACCTGTTTGTGGGGGCATGACTTGCTCTCAAGCTATGCTGATATTAGAGATGAGCGAATTATTCAAAAATTCGATTCTGATTCGCCGAATTTGTGGAATAAAATTCGATGCGAATTTAACTTATAAAAAGGGTTTCTAGGCTTCAGAGAGCCTTTATATTAGTGCAGAACACTGTACCTTTAATTTAAATGCCCTTGGAGTCTGCTGGGGAAGAGATACTGTCCAGTCAGTATGACATGCAGATGAGTGCCGTCGATCTTAGAATCGCACCGCACACTTCACTCATTTGGGCAGTCACGGGGCCAAAACCAGAGTGTGGAGCCACAGTTGTGGCGGTGGAGGCAGCAGCAATGGGAGGCCATACAGCACCCTATGACAAAATGGAACCCACCAGCAGTGTGAGGAGACCTGAAAGTGGCACATGGCAGAGTGTGGCGATGGAGACAGCAGTAATGGGAGGCCGTACAGGGACCCATGACACACTCTGGACCTGGCAGCAGCATATGAGGAGGCGGTACAGGGGCCCATGGCAAGAAGAAGAAGATGAAGAGGAAGAGGATGAGGATGAGGATGAAGAAGAAGAAGAAGAAGTAGGATGCTGAGGATGAAGAGAAGAAGAAGCCAGGATGACAGGATGAAGAAGAAGAAGAAGAAGAAGAAGAAGAAGGATGAGGATGAAGAAGAAGAAGAAGAAGTAGGATGAGGATGAAGAAGAAGAAGAAGAAGTAGGATGAGGATGAAGAAGAAGAAGAAGTAGGATGAGGATGAAGAAGAAGAAGAAGAAGAAGTAGGATGAGGATGAAGAAGAAGAAGAAGAAGTAGGATGAGGATGAATAATAATAATAATAAGAAGAAGTAGGATGAGGATGAAGAAGAAGAAGAAGTAGGATGAGGATGAAGAAGAAGAAAGAAGTAGGATGAGGATGAAGAAGAAGAAGAAGAAGAAGAAGAAGTAGGATGAGGATGAAGAAGAAGAAGAAGAAGGATGAGGATGAAGAAGAAGAAGAAGAAGAAAAAGAAGAAGAGAAGTAGGATGAGGATGAAGAAGAAGAAGAAGAAGAAAGTAGGATGAGGATGAAGAAGAATTCCATTCCAGCAAAAAGTGTATCTGCAGAGAGCTCCGCTATTTCTGACAGTTCTCTGACAGTTCCTTCACATTTACAGCGGTTGAAACATTGTATCTATTTGTTTCCGAATAAAAACATCTGTATCCTAAATGGAAACAAATAGATACAATGTTTCAACTGCTGTAAATGTGAAGGAACTGTCAGAGAACTGTCAGAAATAGCGGAGCTCTCTGCAGGGACACTTTTTGCCGGCTGTAGAAGGGATGAAAATCGGCGGATCGGGGAAAATTCGATTCGTGCATCCAAAGTTTGCTAATATTCGGATTCGACGCGAATCGAATTTTTCCTAATATTCAAAACGAATTCCACTTGCCAGGTTCATTCGCTCATCTCTAGCTGATATGATTGGCTGAGAAAGAAGATGCTGCTCATTTGGTAGAAACAACAGGATGAGGTGCCATTGGAGACATTGCTGGGGATGATTGTTTGCCAGGGACAGACCCATCAATAAGGGGAGTGTCTCTGGAAAATGGGAATGAATAGCAACCATACATTAGAAGGTGCAGCAGATCAGAGAAAGCTTCCCTCATTTCCTGGCTGGAGGATATCGAGTCCAGCCTCTTCCACCACATTATTTCTGTTTCCAGCTTTCCCCTCTCATTCAATGGATTTCAGTTTCATTTTAATCATAAAGACTCAACAACACATGGGCATTGCATAGGGTGGTCTTCCTGCAGATACAGCTTGCTTAACATTGTCCATTCCTCCAGACTGACATCCACCCATCTAGGCATTTTGATATTTGCATACCTTTTCCCAAGAGCCAACCCATGCCTTGTATCAGCGCTGAGATGAATACTGAGGCAAGGTGCATCCTGTGATTTATCAGGAAGTCATAAACAGAACCCTGCCGGTTGCTCACACCAGTTCAGATCTGACTGCATTTCATAGAAAAGCACCACGATCTGGTGATAACATTATAGATTCTAAATTAAAGTATGTAAAAAAATTGTGGAGGTTTATAAAAAAATCATTAGCCAGAAAGAAGAAACCAGGGAAGACACAATTTAAGCAAACTACCCACATCTAGCAATGGCTCCATGAATACATATATTCAAATTGACCAAGTGTGCACATTTATTAGGGCAGGAGAATGTCTGAAAGATACCTCCAGTTACATTATTAATAGGAATGATCACTATTTTCCTGGATGTTTTTTTGGCCAGGAATGTCTAGTAGCATATTTGTCTACACAAGAAATGAGACAACCAAATAGCTGCCCACACAGAAAATACAATGCAAAGATTCACTCTGCTCAGAACCTAGGGGTCACTACACTAGAAAATTTTGGCAAAAGGGATTTGGGTTTGCCAGAAAAAAATCTACTATATTTCATTCAATATAGTGTCACAAACAAGCAGTGTAACAACAGCCTCCCTTCTTCACAATACACTGTTCAAAAAAAATTAAATGAACACTTTTTAATCAGAGTATAGCATCAAGTCAATTAAACTCCTGGGATATTGATCTGGTCAGTTAAGTAGCAGAGGGGGTTGTTAATCAGTTTCAGCTGTTTTGGTGTTAATGAAACTAACAACAGTTGCACTAGATGGGCAACAATGAGATGACCCCCAAAACAGGAATGGTTGTACAGGTGGAGGCCACTGACATATTTTTCCCTACTCATCTTTTCTGACTGTTTTTCACTAGTTTTGCATCTTGGCTACAGTCAGTATCACTACTGGTAGGTGATACCTGGACCCTACAGAGGTTGCACAGGTAGTCCAACTCCTTCAGTATGGCACATCAATACGTGCCATTGCCAGAAGGTTTGCTGTGTCTCCCAGAACAGTCTTAAGAGCATAGAGAAGATTCCAGGAGACAGGCAGTTACTCTAGGAGAGCTGAACAGGGCCATAGAAGGTCCTTAACCCATCAGCAGGACCAGTATCTGCTCCTTTGTGCAAGAAGAAACAGGATGAGCAACTGCCAGAGCCCTACAAAATGATCTCCAGCAGGCCACTGGTGTGAATGTCTCTGACCAAACAATCAGAAGCAGACTTCATGAGGGTGGCCTGAGCGCCCAACATCCTCTAGTGGGCCTTGTGCTCACTGCCCAGCACCATAGAGCTTGATTGGCATTTGCCATTGAACACCAGAATTGCAGGTCCGCCACTGGTGACCTGCGCTTTTCATAGGCAAGAACAGTTTCACTCTGAGCAGATGTGACAGATGTGAAAGGGCCTGGAGAAGCCGTGGATAACGTTATGCTGCCTGTAACTTTGTTCAGCATGACCATTTTAGTGGTGGGTCAGTGATGGACTGGGGAGGCATATCCATGGAGGGACGCTCAGACCTCTACAGGCTAGACAATGGCACCCTGACTGCCATTAAGTATTGGGATGAAATCCTTGGACCCATTGTCAGACCCTATGCTGGTGCAGTGGGTCCTGGGTTTCTTCTGGTGTACGACAATGCCCGGCCTTATGTGGCGAGAGTATGCAGGCAGATCCTGGAGGATGAAGGAATTGATACCATTGAATGGCACCCATGCTTGCCTGACCTAAATCCAATAGAACACCTCTGGGATATCATGTTTTGGTCCATCCGACACCACCAGGAGCTCAGTGATGCATCATCTCATTAGGAACATGCCCCGATGTCGTCAGAAATGCATACAAACTACTGAGTACCATTTGGAGTTGCTGCAATAAAATTTCAGCAAATGGACTAACCTGCTGCACCTTTTTTCACTTTGATTTTCGGTGTGTCATTGAATTCAGTCCTCTGTAAGTTGATAATTTTCATTTCCATCAAACGATGGGGCATCCTTAAGTTTCTAATACATTACTCAGTCCATATCAGTATAGATATCCAGCATGATATTTTTCCCCATTGAGATCTGAAGTGTTTTCAAAGTGTTCCTTTAATTTTTTTGAGCAATGTATTACTACCAACCTATTCTCAACCAAGAGTTAGAATTCTGACTCCTGCTTCAGAAAGGGTCAGTTTAGTTTAAAAGCAGGGGCGGACTAACCATTTGGAAACTCGGGCACTGCTCGAGGGCCCGGGGTCAGTAGGGGGCCCCATGAGATGCCCTGGTACCTTTTTCATAAGCTTTTTTGATTTTGGGCAAGGACACAGGGGCCCCATGATCCCCTATTGCCGGGGGCCCCATGAGTTGTCAGTCCACCCCTGTTCAAAAGAAAGTAGTGATATTTTGACAGAAGAAGGCTTTTTTTTACTTTTGAAACAAGCAATCCCAACACAGGATAACTTATTTGAATAATGATGTCAGTAACAAGAATTCATTAATGTGACACAGCTGTAATTGTAATGTTTCAGCAAGTAATGTAGAGTTCTAACTCACCTGAGTGACCACTGATTAATGAAATATTAAGCAATTTTTAGTCATTAACTAATCCGAATGCTGATTCAGATCATGCCGTCAGCAACATAAAGCTGCTATATCAACAGAGCAATCCTTCATTAATTAAAGCAGACTCATTAAAATGGAAAAGCAAATGAAATGGAAGCATAAAACACTCACTAGTTCAGTTATATGTTAATTCAAATAGCAATATACAGTATGTAGCTTATAAAGCTCATAACAGAATTTTTTTAGATCTTTCATTATACTGCATTCTCAGATTCCCGTACACAGCAGAAATCAGGCTGAGATTGAGAGTGGCACTACCTTGTGAAAATCAGGCCCTGTACCACTGCTAAATGCTGAAATCCTAACAAGGTATAACCACTGTAGGACATTATTTAGGGCTGTTGTTTAGATATCAGAGCCTACCTAACACATTTTAAGCGAATCCAGTGTTTCAGATCCTAACCTGGAGAATTTAAACCCTTCATACAAGCTGCCTACCTAACTTTAGTCATTAGCTATACTGTACATCATTTTTATTATAACTCTATTTTTGTGAGCATGAGTAAAGGTCAGATTTGTTCCTCAATGATATATGGTCAAAAAGATATGATCTGTTCCTTGATTCATATGCTTTTCATGAGACTTCCTTTTATAAGTTAAAGTGAGCCTTTCAGAAAAGAGTAAAGTAAAAAACCCTATTAAACAGATAGCTACATCAGAGCCTGCTTAGAACTGACTAGAACAGGGGTCTGCAACCTTTAAGACATAAAGAGCCACTTGGACCCGTTTCCGAGATGGAAAAAAAGACTGGGAGCCGCAAAACCATTGCAACATTTAAAACAAATCCGACACTGCATATATTGCAAAAAGCGCTCTGGTCATGAAGGGGGTTTAAGGGCCCAGTAAGCAAAGGGTTAATCAGGGCCACAGTGTATCGTCATAATCACAATCATAGCCTTAGGTCAGTGGTGGGCAACCTTTTTTTTTCAACTGAGCCAAATCTCGCCAAAACCACGATTGAAATTTATTTTGAGAGCCACATTTTTAAAACTGAAAATACATCCCCCATATAGTAATTCATCCCCCATAGTAATTCATCCCCCATATAGTAATTCATCTCCCATAGTAATTCATCCCCCATAGTAATTCATCCCCCATAGTAATTCATCCCCCATATAGTAATTCATCCCCCATAGTAATTCATCCCCCATATAGTAATTCATCCCCCATAGTAATTAATCCCCCATATAGTAATTAATCCCCCATAGTAATTCATCCCCCATATAGTAATTCATCCCCCATATAGTAATTCATCCCCCCTATAGTAATTCATCCCCCATATTAATTCATCCCCCATATTAAGTCCCCAAGTCCCCCCTGTGTCAATTCACTTACCTTTGCTCCGCGCGTTCCTCTCGCCGTGTTCCCGCGCCGTTCCGGTGTAGCATGAAAATCTGTCTCCTATGAGGATCTGTCCCCCTTGACGTATCTGCGCATGTGCCAGTTTCAGTCATTAGCAGCCGATCGGCGATCTCCGGGACATTCGCAGATGCGTCGAGGGGGACAGATCCTCATAGGAGACAGATTTTCATGCTACACCGGTCTTCAGGGCGGACTGTGAGAGGAGCCTAGCGGGAGCCTAGCTCCGCGGGCCGGATTAAAAGGTCCGCCGGGCCGTAGTTTGCCCATTGCTGCCCTATTGCCTGTCACCTGGTGGGCAGTGTGCTCCGGAGCCGCAGCCAAGGTGAAAAAGAGCCGCATGCGGCTCTGGAGCCGCGGGTTGCCGACACCCGGACTAGAAGCTGCCTTCTTACATTCCCAAAAGCTGGGGCTCTCTGATACTGTATATCCCTAATGTTGAAGCTAAATTGCTCCCTAAAATAGGGACTGAACCACCCCCTGCTGTGCCCATGTATTCAGGTAATAAACATGCTCATCACATTTAAAAGGGTAAACTTCAGGCTGCTGAAGACAGGAGAAGACAAGCAACCCATTAGGAATTTTAGGGTTTCTAAAGGAATTTCCAAGCAATTGAAGGTGTCTCTTGTGAAACATGATTCCATTTTACATTTTGTTCTAAATGAAAAGTGTTGCATGACTAACACAAGTAAACCTGTCTTGGCTGAAATACAGGGGCTGCAATCACTAGACGTCCTTTGAAATTACTAGTTTCTTTTCTGTCTCTGGCTTCAATACTTTTTAAGCAAGTGATCCAGTTATGCAGATCAGGTAAGTTAGAAGCCCTTATATGTCAACTTGACAAAGTATTCCAGCCAAAGGACCAACATGATAGCCAACCAACCAGCATTTTCAGAATGAGAGGTAAGCAATGGCAACCTCCATATTTCTTTAATGAAAAGCTCCATATAAGGTTAGATTATTTTATGGTACACACAAGTGGAGTCATTTGTTTGGCACTGTACCCCACTGTACCTGGTGCTCAAGGTTTAATCTTTGTTTCGATCAATACTGAATTAATGAAGACTAATGATAACCAGTGTAAAGCAGTGGTCTCCAAACTGTGGACCAAGGGCCATATGTGGCCCTTTGCTAGCCTTTATCCCGCCCTTGGTGCAGTATTCCTGAGACTGATTTGAGGCACAATTTCTAGCATAATTCCCCCAACTGACACCAACAATATGGCACTATTCCTCCCACTAATATTAACAATGGGGCACTATTCCATCTACTGACACCAATGATAGGGCACTGTTCCTCCCACTGATAACAATGATGGGGCACTATTTCTCCCATCAACATCAATGGCGGGGTACTTTTCCTCCCAGAAATACCAAGGATGGGACATTATTCCTCCTCCTGCTACTGACCACAGGCACTATGCAACTGTACACCACACCCGAGTCATTGTTTACATTCACTGATGCCAGGCCTGGGACATTTTCTACCCCCACAGGCCACAATCAAGCCCCCCAAAAGTCTGAAGGACAGTAAACTGGCCCTTTGTTTGGAAAGTTGGAGACCCTTGGTGTAAAGGAATGAAAAGCATAATTAACAATCTACTGAGCTCTCATATATTCTGAAAAAAAATCAGTTCCAGTCATTTAGCTCCCAGTATTAGAAATGCACAAATGTCTCACTTTGATGCCCATGTGAACAGGAGCTAGCAGGCTCTGATTCACCTCTATGCTTTGGTGTCTTTGTTGCTGTCAGTGTAACTGTGGATGTGACCATGGCACTGACCTCTTTCTTCTAGTCACTAATGCAGTCAACATTTGTGGCAAAGTAAGAGTGCCCAGAAGGTAATATAAAAGTAGATTGAGAAAGGTAGTAGATGTAAAACAGGGGATTATTATTATTATACAGTATTTATATAGCGCCAATAGTTCGCTCTGCGCTGTACATTACAATGGGAGACAATACATGGGACAGTACAATAACAATACAACGTGATACACGGGGGTTTGAGGGCCCTGCTCCTTGGAGCTTACAATCTAGGAGCTTAGTAATGGAAATCCTGATTTGTTCTTTTTGCAATGTACTATCTACGTTGTAGAATTTTAGTGGCTCTTTCAACATCATTTTTGAAACATACAACACAATTTCGGGTGGCCACTAAACAAACATATATGCATTATATTGTAAAGCGCTGAGCAAACTGTTGGCACTATATAAATCCTGTATAATAATATAATAATAATAATGGTTAACAGCACATCCCATAAAGAAGAAAGTGTATTATTTAGAATTCTAGGAATGCTGTTGTTTGAGCAATGGATGCTGGTGTAAAGGTCTCCAAATTTTGAGTGAGTGAGTGGATGCAGGTCTACAAAGACTGAATGGTCCAAATAGTTTTTTTTAGAATGTAAGCTATATATGTAGAGGAAACACCAGGGCACCGCAAGTAGGTTGAAAGTCCAGTTTGTATGATAGAAGAGGAGCCTTTATTATCTAAACCAGTGGTCTCCAAACTACGGCCCAGGGGCCTGATGCGGCCCTTTGTTTGCTTTTATCTGGTCCTTAGTGCATTTTTTCATCTGCGAAACCAACAACGAAGGGGCACAATTCCTCCCAATGACACCAACAATGGGGCACATTTCTCACCAATGACACCAATGATGGGGCACAGTTTCTCCCAATGACACCAAAGATGGGGCATTGTTTACTCCCACTGATGCCGGGACAGTTTCTACTCAACCGATGGCCATGTGTGCGACCCCCCCCCCAAAGTCTGAAGGACAGTAAACTGGTCCTTTGTTTAGAAAATTTGGAGACCCCTGATCTAGACAGATGGCACTATCCCTAATATTAACTAATGAAAAGATACAGAGTTACCATGGTGTTCCAATAGGGGCCATGGCAGTGTATGAATTTTTATGTGATACAATATCATACAACACTGAAAAAGATGTCAATAAATACATATTATTATTATTATTATATAGGACTTATATAGCACCGACAATTTGCTCAGCACTTTACATTATGGAGGGAGACAGTACAGTAACAATACAGTTCAATACAAGAGGGATTAGAGGGCCCTGCTCCTTGGAGCTTACAATCTAGGAGGGAGGGGATAGTGGTACAAGAGGTAATTAGCTGTGGGGGATTGAGTGGTAGGAGGAGAAGGGATTCCAGTATTAGCTGGGGTCGGGGTAGGCTTCCCTGAAGAGATGGGTTTTCAGAGTGCGCCTAAAACTGAGCAGAGTAGGCGATAGCCTGATAGCTTGGGGTAGGGAGTTCCAGAGGATGGGTGAAGCCCTTGAGAAATCCTGGAGGTGAGCATGGGAGGAGGAGACAAGGGAGCTAGAGAGTAGGAGGTCTTGCGAGGAGCGGAGAGTACGGTTTGGGTGGTATT